GATGCTCACATATTGAGGTTGTATTTGATCAGTTCATTTGAACTCGTTAATTCCTTCTTCTTTTGTGATCAATAGTTGGCAAAGACGTACGGAAGCAAAAGAAAGAATATTGACTGGTATTAGGCTATTCAGAAAATAATGTCCAGTTTTAGAACTAACATTTATTCGTAAATACATCTTTTTAAACAGTTTTTAATTCAGTCAAAATAGGAAGCCTGAATATCTATACATTTCTGCCAACGAGTTACAAGTTTATTTATACCTTTACGATAAAACTGTAAAGGTTTGGACGCCAAGAAATCTTTCAATGCAGTTTCTCTATCTTCTCTGCAACGGAATGTGTTTTGGCTGAAAAGAAATTATTAAGCTTCGTGAAAAGAGTTAATCAGTGGTCTAAAGATCAGGGAAATATGGTGGATACGGCAAAGTCTCGTACCCCAAATTGGCGAATTTCTTTGGTGTCATCCTAGCAACATGTGGACCTGGTCGATTAACCAATGCCGTTCGCATTTTGCTTAACTCAATGTGCATTTCAACCAGTTTCTAGCAGTAAAAGTTTACTGCAGTGATGCTCTAGTTCGATTCCAGAAAGTTGTAATGATTAACGCTAAATGAAGGACCACAAAACAATTAGCATCATCTTCTGTTGGTGCAATTTCGGTTTTGAAAAGTGTTTGAACGATTGGGTGCGATCAAGTTATTGAGCCAATCGATTACGATTCTCATAAAGGGTCCATTTATGATCGCAAGTCACTATTCGATCAACAAGTGGACCATTCGAATATCGTAGATGCAGCATCGAACACACTTATAAAACGTGGAACTCTTTGAGTTTCACTGAGTTCATGTTAAACGCATTTACCAATTTTCTTGAGATGATCCGATATTGTTAGTCCTGATTATGACGTTAAACTACATCCGACATCAAGGATTCTGATCGGGTGAGTGGAAGTTTTGAGTAGCATGGAACCACCTCTTAATGAGCTGTTGATTCCAGGTCTACCCTGACCCGGAGGGTGGGTAGCACCTGTTAGTGACCTCTCCAAACACTATGAAAGTATAAAATATATTTTTATAGTAAAAACACCAGCAATACATTATAAAGGATCCATTTATGATCGCAAGTCACTATTCGATTAAAAATGAATGATTCGAATTTTTCAAATGAGGAATGGAAAAAACTTTGAAACGTAAATGTCTTTGACTCACTGAGTTCATATGGAACCCATGTATCGAGTTCCTTCACTTTACCAATTTTCTTGAGATGGTCCTATATTATTGAAATGCTGAGACATGTTCGATTAGTTTTTTTTTCTTCAAATATTGATTGTCTATTGCAGATGGACGTCATCTAACACATTGATCAACAAGACTCGTATCCCCACCGTGCAGCTTCAAAAACCTATGTAGTACTGTTAGTGTATCCATCACCCCATGCTCTATTAATGTAGACTGCAGTTTTACGATCATTATCACCGTGACTGAACTCATGCAATGAATTTAAGCGTATCTCTTTTTTCATCTATTTTCATGTTCTAGATGAGCAGAAAATAATGTTTTAAATTAAATTCTAAAAGCGATCGATATAAAACAAGGAACACACTTTAATCATTAGAAATGAGTAATATATTTGTATGTAACTATTATAATAATATATTACATCGTTTTCGATAATGATATCGATGTGCAGGAGGGGGGTGAACTCGAAGGTAACTGTGGAATCCACTGCGAGAACGGCAAAGACGTCCCTAACGGGGACACGTGAAGGAAACTTGCCTTGAGGTTTGGGTGCTTCTATTACTGTCTTCCGTTTTGCACGAGTCCCTTGATGTTCTCACGTCGGTTTACCTCAAATGTTTCTGTTGCAATTGCAGAGGGACGTCCTTGATCTTGAAGACTCGTATCTCCAATGCGGTTATCAGTGCCGTAATGTCGGGTCACAAGTGGTGTTGGCAGCAGTTAGAGAAGCATTATGACCAAGACTGAACTCATGTGAAAAAAGGCAAATGCATCTCTCACGTCGGTTTGCCTCGAATATCTCGTTTGCTTCGTGCGTCGTGACACGCCATCTAGTTCGATCCTGTGCTTCGCGGCTCTTTCGACGTGCGCGATGTTGGCCTTGATGCAGTTTTTGAAAAGTTTCACTGTCCTCTCCTGTTTTCTCTTTAGAGAGCTCGTCATAGAGAAATTGCTTTTGGATTCTGTCATTGTCCATTCAGTGACATGCGCCATCCATCTGAGTTGGGCTTTCAGAACAATGGCTTCAGTGTTAATGGTTTCAGAACATCAAAAATTCTAAAATCGGATATTATTTTCAAAACTATCTGGCATTTCTTTTTGCTTTCGACAGGTTTTGCTGTATATCCATAGCAAATATCATAACTTGTCTTATCAAAAGAAGATTTCTTTTGCGTTTCCTCGTTTGTTGCAAGCTGACGATTATGTGTAGAAGATGTGAGCCTTCCCGTAGGCACTTACTGGAAACCGAAGGAACTTCTGTTTTCCAATTTTACATCGTTTCTTCGGAATAAGCAGGTTACATATCTCGAACAGTAAAACCTTTAAAACAATTTAGTTAATAATCACTGTTCCGCTAACGTTTCCTTCCTCATACCCAGTTGTAGTATAAACTGCGCTTGGGACCATTAACGGCCAATATTTCAAATATAGGCTGTACAGAGAAGAATTTCGGAGAGAGCCTTGAAGAGAGGATGATTTCCTGACGCATGGGTAACGCATAGCCTTTTGCGATATGACTTGACGGACTTATGCGTAAACATAGTTTTGGTAACATTTACTAGCTTTTTGTTTCAGGGCCGGAGATAAGGTTTGCAACACATTTCTACAATTTTTTAACATATTCTCTTTAGGGAAAATAAAAACTTAATTTCCGCTCTTCCGAGCTTTCCCTAGCCGTCCTAATTTTATTATAAAAGCCTGTGTAAATAGCTGTACTGACGGCCGCCCACATATTTGATAAATCCAAGACCACCATATGAACTCTTGTCCTTCTTTTGGTGTGAGGAACCTGCTTCAAAGTTTGTAAAAGTATTTTTGATACACCTGTATATATATATATATATATATATATATATATATATATATATATATATATATATATATATATATATATATATATTCCTGCTAAAGCGTTATTTTTATGGAGATATATTTAATGATGTATTTTTGTAACAATATTTGTCGAATAGACGAAAAAAAATATACAGTTTAATAAATAAGTAAAAACAGAGCATCTTTTCAAATATGGATATCCGTTAAATATAACGTTTAAGTAATAAATTGAAATATACACACACACACACACACACATATATATATATAAACATAAATACATATATATATATATATGCACATATATATATATATATATATATATATATATATATATATATATATATATGGACACATCCGCACAAATATACGCAGGCACACAAACACACATATAAACACACTCACACAGACGTACATACACACACACACAAAAACACCCCCACACACATATATATATATATATATATATATATATATATATATATATATATATATATATATATATATATATATATGATGGTTCTACCTTGATGTCGATTGTAACGATGATGTCCTGTGATAGTCATATACTCGATAGCGTGATGGCAGCTTTTACATATGTGCACATATATATGAGTATGCGTGCATATATATATATATATATATATATATATATATATAAAGAGAGAGAGAGAGACAAACAGAGAGAGGGAGAGAGAGACATGCACATAAATACAGAGTCCGATGGGAAAATTGTCGCCTTTGTATATTTTTAATTTCGCTTTTTTACTTTTGTGATCTACGCAGTATGATAGGGTCAGTTGGGCAACGTCTGTGAGAAAAAGAGCACCATGGCGCAATTTACTCCGCCAAAAATTTGAAAACAGCCTGCTGTAAAATTGTCAAGCATACACTATATACTCCTAATAATTAACAAGATTGCTTTAGTGTAACCAGACCTAACCAGCACCTTCCTCAGTACCATATCTGCCTGCTTACGATATTAATATCCTGCCTTCGTTAAACGGAACACTTCTCGGTTAACTCACTACACACGTTAAACGCTGAAGATGTACTAGCCACAAATGTACACGAATGATAAATGTAACCTAGTCTACATAACAACACAGTTCCATCTACGATAAACTTTCTTAGAATTTATAAACGAAAGATTTGCGGACATGTTTCCATGGACGTTTGTCTTTTGTTTTGAGCAACCCACCCCTAAAGTATGTAAAAGTATTTTGATACACCTATATATATATATATATATATATATATATATATATATATATATATATATATATATATATATATATATATATAAATTTATAGAATACTGATTTATATATGTGTGCATGCGTGTGTATGTTTCTGTGTAAGTTTGTTTATGTGTGTGAGTGTAAAAGTATAGATATATATATATATATATGTGTGTGTGTGTGTAAATAATGTTTTCATTGAAGTTCATCGATCTTTTGAATGCAGATCACCACGAGTTCTATAAATATGAAATATTTTCCAATCTTAAGAATGATACACTTTCATAATTATGGCCCTTAAATGGATTCCTAATTGGCATAGATCTCCATAAGCGGCAGGTGGTTCTTGCAGTGACCCAAACCCTGACCCTAAAATCCATTCCCAACAACACCCAACAAGACCCCAACCCCTTAGAAGACCCCAACCCCTTAGAAGACCGACTTTAATTTACAGAACGGGTCCAAACATCGGTCACAAAAGGGGAAAGCAATGAATTATATAAAAAAAGAATTCGAAATAAATACAAAAATAATGCAGAAAGAAGAAGAAGAAGAAGAAGAAGAAGAAGAAGAAGAAGAAGAAGAAGAAGAAGAAGAAGAAGAAGAAGAAGTGATTGGGTAAGTCTGAAAACATGGGGCGCATTGAGGTGGTTGTGAAGTTGGAATGATGAGCTATAACCAATGCCAATGTGCTATACCTTTCTCGATGGGGGTCATGGATACTCATTAGCCTATTTTAATACTACCGTGGCCTCCCTTACCAACTTTAACACTGCCCCGTGCCCTTCCAACTTTCCTACTTACCTCTCATATTGTCAATCGGCCCCACACAGCCCACAAACGGTTCAATCCCGACCAATGAGAAAGAGTTGCATTCAACCCCTAGGGAACATTCTCTAAAGGGAACCATACCTACTTCCGGACGGTTTTTCAAATTCAGTGGAAACGGGTCGTAAATTACGTCTTCCGGAACCTGGAGAGCGGTTCTTCGTGGCCTTGTGTGGGGTTAGACGGTAAAATGAAAGAGGGTGGGTCTGAGGGGAGACATAAATAGGAGGGGGAGATAGAGAGGGATTAGTAAGAATATCATGAATCTTCCATGTATTTAAAAAACAATCTCAATTTCCAGACACCCTCATATTTTTAGGCTTTCTCTTCCTTCATCTCTACTCTTTCTTCCTCTCTTTCTTTTATACTCTCTCACTCTCTTGTCTCTCTCTCTCTCTCTCTCTATCTCTCTCTCACAATACCACTTGGTTCTCATTTATTTCAACTCCCTTTATTTTCATCTCAAATCCCTCTCTCTCTCTCTCTCTCTCACTCTCTCTCACTCTTCTCACACTCACCCCCTTTTGTCACTCGCGCGTGTTCAGCCCATAGTCTTTCTCGTTTCATCTCTCTTATTCTGTCTCTCTCTCTCCACACCATTTTGGTCGCTTTCTCTCATTTTATCTCTCTCCCCACTCTCTCTCTCTCTCTCTCTCTCTCTCTCTCTCTTTCTAACTCTCAGTCTTTCTCTACACACCTTTTTAGTCTCTCTCTCTCTCTCTCTCTCTCTATCTATCTATCTATCTATCTATCCATTTATCTATCCATCTATCTATCTATCTATCTGTGTGTGTGGGGGGGGTCTTTCTCTTTACACCGCTTCGGCCTAACTATCAGTTTCTCAATTTTCTTTCTTTTGATAATCTTCATTGTCATCTTTCTTGCTTTCTATTTTTATCGATTTCACTTTCTATCTATCTATCTATCTATCTATCTATCTATCTATCTATCTATCTATCTATCTATCTCACTCTGTTCGTTTTCTATCTATCTATCTATCTATCTATCTATCTATCTATCTATCTATATCTCTCCCTCCCGCTTGGTCTCTCTCATTTCATTTCTATTCTTGTTCTTAATTATTATTTTCTCTCTCCTTATATCTATCTATCTATCTATCTATCTATCTATCACATGGCTTCTGTCAAGTTTCCTATATCTTCCTTAATTATTATCATTTTCCCCCTCTCTTTACCTTCCTCTTTTTCTTCGTTTTCATCGTTTTCGCTCTCTCTTTCTCTCTCTCTCTCTCTCTCTCTCTCTCACATTTTGCTTTTCAGCTTTCTTTTTGTTTCTCTCTCTTTCTCTAACATTTGGTATCTCTCATATCATTTCTTTTTCTTATTTTTACTATATATTTCCTCAATTTCTCTCCCTTTTTAGTCATCCATGTTTAATTTATCTATATATCCTTTTCATTTGTATCTCTCTTTCACTTTTCTTTTACGTTAACTTTCACTGTCATTCTCTCTCCTCTCCTCTCTCTCTCTCTCTCTCTCTATATATATATATATATATATATATATATATATATATATATATATATATATCTGTCTGACACATATTTTTCTCTTTACCTTTCAGTAATATTCACTCGGCTAAACACAATCTGACACAAAGCTACATGTCTGCAGCTCACAATGTTAATCAAACTCACTAGCCGAGGGGGTGATGAAAAGTTTTCGGCCTGATTAAGACGTTGTTGTAAATGAAAATCTTTGCCAACATTTTTGGGTGTTGTTTGAGCCATGAATTATTCAATAGTATTTATGGTCTTCTATATAATTTTATGAGACTCTGGCAGATTGTCAGACAGTTTCACCATACGTTCCAAAACAAATTAAAACCATATATATATATATATATATATATATATATATATATATAACAAATTTTGTGTAGATAAGGAAATTGAACCTAGAATAGGCTACGCTAGAGATAGTTTTTCCCAACACTGCCAATTGCTACAAAACCAAAACATTGACCTGAAAACTCGAGTCATTTTCTTAAATACTCAGATCGAGACTTTCATCCGCATGTCATGTATGGCACCAAACCGGTTAAAAAAAAAACTAAACTGTTATCTGTATACAGCCACTGTCTAAGATCAATGGTTAAAATTGGCTTTAAGCGAATGAACCACGGGGGTCTTGTGAAGACCCTCCTTCTCCTAAATCTTGTTAAATGGCGCTACAGAATGGCAAACAAAGAACAGAAACCACATCACTTAAAGACTACCAACAGCAGCAACAACTGAAATGGATAACACATTTAACTCGAAGAGAAAACATTTTGACGTTTGTAGACAAACTTCAAAATTGATGAGATTAGAAAACTAATACAAAGAGAAGTGACTAAATTTGAAAGTTACTATTAATACAAAATTAAAAAAAGGTAAACTTCCTCGATATAACATTAGACTTAATGAAAAATGTATACCGACCTTATAAAAAAAAACTAATATCAATCCTTTATATATCCAGCTGAAGTCAAATCATCCCCCATCTATAATAAAGCATGTAACTTCATCCATAGAAAAAAGAATAAGTCAAATTCTGCTAATGAAAAAATATTCGATGAACACAGAAATTTTTATAATAAAGCTTTAAAGAACACTGTTTATAAATGCCTTGACATTAATTATATAAAAAATGACAATAAAGACCGGATATAGAAATAGAAAAGTCATTTGGTACCCTCCCCCCATTCAACCAAATCGTTAATAGTAAATTAGGACATAAATTTCTTTCTTTAATTGAAAAAAAAATTCTAGAAATAATACACTTAGCAAAATTTTTAATAAATATACCCTAAAATTAAGTTATAGATGTACTGAAAAAAATAATAATAAAATTTTAAATAAGTACTTAAGCCAGAATCAGAGTTCTGTAAATAGTCCAGTACATAATAAATGTCTCACAGAATCTATAGTTTATCAATGCACTATCTCATCTAATCCTAATATTGAAAAGTTTTATATTGGGATAACTAAAATGGATTTAAATTAAGATGGAGCCAACATCTGAGATCCTTCAATAATAATAAGTATTGCAACCAAACATCCCTATTCAAACATTTTTGGTATTTAAAAGAAATAAATAAAACACTCACAGTAAAATGGAAACTACTAAAAAACGAGAACGTAGATCTCTATATGCCGCATGTCCTTTGTGTCTACATGAAAAGTTATATATTATAAATCTCTGAAAAGTAAGGATTTATTAAATCAAAGAAATGAAATAACAATTTTTTGTAGGCATTGTATTATGTTTTCTTTAAAAAAATAATTGATTATAAAAAAATTTGCATAATTATCTATTATATGATCAAAAGTAAGAAAATGCGTAATTAAATTCTAATATTTTAATTTTACAAACCGTGTATAGGTTATTAATAAATATAATAAATACAGTAATTTAGACCCTTATAAATAAAAAATATAATTATAAAAATATGACTTAATCATATTTGAAAGCCTCTTTAAGAAAATCCAAATGTATTTTATAAAATAAGAAAATAGATAAAATAAATAAATAAAAATGTCAATTGTATTGTAGTGTATCTTAAAAACTCAAACAGTGATGACACGTTCTCATATAAGGAAGCCAGTATCAACAGACAGAAATTACAAACCCACAACTAACTTTAAACTGATATTTACTTTGCCACCTTAAATTATACTTGTATCCTGATTCATAAAAAGAACCAACATCTCATTCCCCCACCAACTTAAACTATATAATACTATTTAGCTTATAAAATCATTTTTTCGGGAGTTAATCAACATCGCTTGAAAACGGAACAAAAACTTAAAATTTGAAGTTTAATTTAAGATTCAGGTTCTGCTTTCGAAACATGGCTATTTCTGTGTCGCGATGAATACATATTTTTAAAAAATAATTATAAAATTATGCTCTAATGTGTATCGGGCACTGTTTTTAAAAATAAATACTAAAGAACTCTGGATTATAAACCTGGCTGTCCTGATATATATATATATATATATATATATATATATATATATATATATATATATATATATACTGAAAGTAATGAACACAATTTTTTGAAACCATTATAATGGAGAGTAAGGAATTGTGAAAGCAATAGTTTTGAAATATTGAAATTATTGGGTATTAAATGGAGTTTATGAAATTAGTACAAATTTTCAATTCTTCCTCCATTTTGATTTACAAACAAGGCTGCATGTTTGATCAAATTATTGACAGACTATCCATAACTTCTAGGAATCTAAATGAAATAATAAAACAAAACGAAAGAATATTAATCTACAACCCAGTGTGTCTGAAGATTTTAATATTTTAATATTTTTATTGTTCAATATATATATATATATATATATATATATATATATATATATATATATATATATATATATATATATTTATATAAAGAAATATACATAATATATTACATTAATTGCACAACTCCGAGATTCATGCCGAAGGAATTTTCAAGTGCTGGATTTATTTTCTTATTCTTCGCGGGTATTTTGTGTATATATATATATATATATATATATATATATAGCGTGTATTTTCGCAGGATTGTTTTCATTAAGACATGTCTCACTAAATAATTTAGAAAACATGGTAATTTTCTTTCTTCCTTTAGTAAGGATGCTAAGAAACTTGTCCGTAATTATGAGAGGATCATATTTAAAATAGAGAAAACTTGTCTAATTTATTTAATCACACATGTCTTTATATATATATGTATGTATGTATGTATGTATGTATAATTTCATCCGTAAACAAGGTTATTATGCCACTAAGATGCAGGGAATTACTAAGAGTAAAAGTGAATAGGAACAGAGATTTCCTGTCAAAGAACGAATATTTTCTATGAAAATTTCTCGGACATTCAGACCAGTAAATGTTATTTAATACTGTTTATTATAAACAGAGCATTTACTTAAATACTTGTATCTATAAAAAGAACGTTAAACATAAAAATGTCTTTAATAAATAAATATATATATATATATATATATATATATATATATATATATATATATGTCTACCATTCATCTTAGCTTTGGAAAATTATGCTACATATGGTCTGGTGCTCATACTACATATTTAGGTTATTTTGATAAAATACAAAGAAAAATCTACAATATTATTGGTTCTGGCCTGTCATCTAGCCTTCAGTTACATAATAATTAATATGATTAACTTAACTCAATTATTTTCATTTTTATACCCCCCCCAATGAATTGTAGTTTATATGAAGTAGTTAGGACTTCGAAGACATTCTGAAGTGTTATGAAAATGATAGTAAGAATGGTAAGTAAGAATGTATTATTTTGGTGTAAGAAATACTATGCTATGTTTGGGTCAGTAATTGTAGCTAAGTAAGTTTAAGACAAGACAGATTAAAGATCACCCTTCCCAAATCCCTCCTTTTGGCCTTGTGCCACATTTTCGTATTTTCAAAATAAATATTACTTACCTCTATGGTATCTAGACTTTATGAATTTAAACACAGTACTAAACTGGCGCCGGGGTCTTGATATTTTACAATTGAAATGTCTAAATGTAACCGTAAATTCTATGCTGACAGTTCCTTCTATCGCACTTCTCTCAACTCTTTTATGTCTTCTTGCTTTCCAGTCATCTTTCATGTTAAAAAAAAAAATTAAATGCAATTTCAATTGTTATTTACTGTCTTCTTAATTCTTTTTTCTTATATTCGTCTCTCTTCTTGACATTAATTATATTCCCATTAAACCCTTGTATCTTTATTGCCTTGCTTGGGACGAAATGATTAATATATATATATATATATATATGTGTGTGTGTGTGTGTGTGTGTGTGTGTGTGTGTGTGTGTGTGTGTGTGTGTGTGTGTGTAAAAGAGACAAAATGAATAAAAAGATACAAGACGAAAAACTATATTTTGACGACGCTTTTCTTCCTCTGGGGGAATTTATCAAGGCAAATAAAGTCTCTCAGAGAACGAAACGTGCTGGCTAAGTATATTTTTCCTCTCCTCTCTTTTTATTCAGATAGATAGATAGATAGATAGATAGATAGATAGATAGATAGATAGATAGATAGTATCTATCTGGAGCTTAAAGTGCAATGTTTTCAAGAAAATAAACTTTATTACTGTTCCATAATTTGATTTCTCTTTGAAAGTCATTCGATTTCCACCACAACTCGGTCTCATCAAGAACCTCGTAAAACTGTCATAGTTATGTTTATACAATGGGTCAAATTTCGGTTAAGCTGAACATTACACATCTGTCAATTCTGCTATCAAATCTAAGGCTTACAACGCTTGACGTAAGGGCGTTTGTGGATTATTCATGGATTAAGAAAAAAAAAACAGTTTTAAGCGTTTTTGTGCAACGGTTTT